GAATAAAAAATAAAATAAAAACAATGATAGAAAGAAAAGACTTATCTTTTTTTCCCTGAGTTTCCTCTCTAGTCAAAGATTTCAAGAACATTGGCTTCGCTTTCTCCAAACCACATTGTGAGGAGCTCGGGGAGCTCGGGTCCCTTGACAGTTGTAAAGTTTGCTTTGGCTAAAAGGGTTTTTCCATATCCTAAGGAACAAAAACACCAAAAAATGGCCAAATTAGCATTTACAGTTCACATCAATCTCGTTTCACGAGCTAAAAGAAAAGAAATATCTAACCTTTTCAATGTTTTCTCTAATGGCATCATCCCAAACTTTTCAAATTTCTCTGGATGCTCCACGGGGTACTGAACAAGTCTGCATTGCAACCAAAATATTAGATCATGGATTAGTTCTAAGATACTGAAATAATTTGGATAGAAAGCAAAAGATGTTGTAACGATTTTACCTCCTGTACATATAGCTCTCTCTTAACGTTCTCAAGACCTCCGGTATCCTTCCAATTTACATTTGGAACCTCCACAACCTGTTGAATGAAATGAAATGATAAGAATCGAAACAAGGTGAAGAAACAGGTTCTGATTCAAAAAGAAGTAGAGGAACAACACTTACAGTTTCACGAAGTGCAGATGGGTTGCTGTTTCCAAGACCGGTCTGGAAGTGTTCATTTGACACCGTCACGGAGTTAAGGATCTCGGCGTCAATTTGGTCATCTTCCAAGACAATCACATATATCTTCTCTCTGATACATTGAAGGGCAGCTTCAGCGCATAAAGCTGCAAGATCGGCATCAACATATCCATGTGAGTCCTTGGAGATTCTTTCTAGATCCGCCTGTTAAAAAAAGCAGTTCTTTAATAAACATTGCAACTAGAAAAACATCAACAAAACATGTAAAGATGCTATATTTACTTACATCTTCAGCTAGCTTCATGTTCTTCGTGTGGATCCTAAAAAAACTTCAAGACGTCCGATTTCATCAGGAACACCGATATTAATTTCCCTGTCGAACCTACCAAACCTTTCCAAAGCTGAGTCGATACTGTTGGGGCGATTTGTAGCTCCCACAATAATAACATAGGCACGCGATTTCAGTCCATCCATAAGCATAAGGAGCTAAGAGACAATCCTCCTCTCAGCCTCTCCATTAGTCTTCTCCCTTTTCGGTGCAATAGAGTCAATCTCATCAAGAAATATGATTGAAGGAGCGTTCTTCTCAGCCTCCTCAAATGCTTTTCTGAGGTTGGTCTCACCGACAAGTTTCGACATGATACGCCTCCATGAAGTAGGCTGTTGAAAAAGTTCAATTTTTGTTAGCAATCCACACTAACAAAACATGATCTTAAAGCAAACATGAACTCAAAAAGACAGCTTGACTATGATATGAAAGAGAGCTAAAGGTTCAAGCAAACTTACGTGTCAGGTAAGCATCGAAGAGGTTTCCAGTAACCCCTTCAATGGTATCATCAACTAGAAATATGTGCACACGCATGATTCATCAGCAAGGGTAATGCACATAGTGTCCTTCCTTTTCTTACCTTGTAAAGACAGAAGCGGAATCAAGTAAGAAATCACCGAGATATAGAAGATCAGTTTTAAAGACAGAGCAAGTTTAGATTTCGACCCATGAGTCCATGCGTTTACAAGATCATAACAAGTAAGAGAGAACAAGTACAATCACGTAAGAATCTATTGGCCAAGCAAGAAAAAAACCCTCATTTGGTAACAATCGTCAATCAAGAAACCAGAAAAAAATTTCGATTCCAGCAATACAGATTTTTAAATTTGTAAAAATCAAACCTTGACGAGAATCGTATCGCCACGACAAACCTTGATGAAGCTTTTCCATGGTGGTGGAATGGAGAGAGACGACAGAGTTGTCATCGTTAATGGCTTCGTCGACAACAAGTCGGTTTGGAGACTTGTTCCTCTCGAGAATATCCTTCTTCGATTTACTGAAACAAACAAGAGAGAATAATCAAAACTCAGGAGGTATAAGAAGAAATCAACTTTAAAACCTCAAAAACACAGGGTAAAAGATAGAAACTTTTTGATCGGAAAACGAAAATCGGAGATCTGGGAACTTACGAATCTGGAGATTCAGGTTGGTTTGAAATGGTGATTGCTAAAAATTAATCAGAAAGTTGCGAAATTTGTTTTTAGAGAGATCGATTGATGAATCTTTGTGATTATGGAATCTGAAGGGAGAGCAGGTTTCGGATTTATTTCATCTTCTTCTTCTTGCTGTTGGAAAATAGGAAAAGTAGCCGTTGTATCTAAGCCAGACCCGGTTCATGGAGCGGGTTCTTTACAAAACACGGTTATTAATGAAACCGCTTGTATGTTGATAAAAAAAAACAGGAATTTATTTCTTTTTTTTTATTTTTCTTTTGCTAATCGACAAAAAAAACCGTTGTTTTAAATTTCTCCTATAATGTTCCCATACTTAGTTATATCAATATACACCCCTGTAATATACTCTTTACTAATTATTTCAGTTAACCAACTTATCTTCTTTTAGATTATCAAGCATTCAATAAAAAATATTAAATTATTTACTTAAAAACAAATATGTATATCAATTCGACTAATTGAAATTCAGAGAATTCAGTAGGACTTATATTAGTTCGCTTATATGAACATCTAGGATATATAAAAATGAAAATAAAAACCAAAACCGAAATTCAAACAAATCCCATGAACTCACCCAATCAGACGATGAGAGAAGAATTGAAACTCAGGTTGTAATTAAATTGCACGGTTCCTGGCTTATCTAGAGTCTAATTATATCATTTCACCTGTAACAGTCATTACCCATCAAGACTCAAGAGAGCATGGGACACTACTCTAGATTATGAGAAATTTTGTTGGTTTCTGGCTTATAATTAAAACTGCACGTGGAATAGCAGGAAGTGATATATCGAACGGCTATGAATGAATCTATATTTCTGATCGAAAGGCTGACAATCTCGCGTTTCCTTAAAGAGAGACACAAGCAATGGGATGAAGCACCGGCTTGTCCCGCGGGGGGGATGAACCCGTCGTCTCGGAATCTCCAACACAAACTTAAATGATAATAAGAAGAAGAAAAAATGAATTAAGGCCGTACGTTTGTTTGTGGGAAACTTCCATATCCTGCATGCATGAGCAGGACGCACTTTGGTTACACGATAATAAATGTCAAAAAAAAAAAAACATAATACATGTATACAGTTTTATATAGCTATACCATTTTTGTCGGTAACACATCTCTCGGTTATGCATAACTGTTAGATATCCACCATATTCATTTTTAATTTATTAAAATGTAACCTATGGACCGTCGACCACCGATATACAATGAGATGATATTATATAATGGTTGACAGCCTTTTCGCACAATTACGCATGTTGGCATGATGTGTACAATACTACTATAGTCTACAGGTGTATGTGAAGATTTTCGTAATCACCACTGACACATTAATGGTGAAATCCAGCATTACAAATCGGTTCGGATTAGATAAACTAATCAGTTTAGGTGATATTCTGGGAGTACTTTGATTCTGGCAATCACCAGTGATGCATCACCCTAGCTAGGTGAAATCCAGGTCCAGCATAACAAATCGGCGGTTCAAATATATTGATGATAATTATGAGTATTTGTAATGCGTACATCAATTCATGTATATATACATCTTACCTTTCAAACATAAATTTTCTGCAATTTTTTTTTTATGATTATAATCAAACATAAACATGATTATATGAACTTTGAGAACGAGAGTTACATATTGATCGTACAGAATAGCACTTTGTCCAAGAATCTTATCCCATTTGTCATCTCTTTTAGATCTTATCTTCCTCCTACATTACATTTAATCAAACCATGGGACCCTCTATTTCACAACTTCAAAACAAAAATTTCTCTTTTTTATCAACAAAATGTCTCTCTTTACAAATTTAGCTCTTCATTTATTTGTTTGATACAAAAAGTATACTTCATAAAAGTTACCCTAAATTAATACGTGAATATGAGTTTTATAAGTGTGTACAGTTCCACTTTGAAGCAGATTTATGAGAAGGACACACTTTGGTTACCCTAAACAAATGTGTATAGTTCCATTTTGATTCAGATTTGTAACCTTCTTGTTGTAAAAACAAAGATAAAACGAAAAAGTGATGCTACCACGAAGGCACTAAGTGGCTACTGTAGAGCATATAATTATGTATAAATAAAAAGATACGTGTACAGCATTTACGGTTTATGCATTATGAATCTATATATATGGGCGCACACTGCACACTGCACACTGCACACACACACATGTATATTCTATCTATAATGCCCAATAGGTGAGTGCCAATGTGCCATGCCGATAAGGCGATAAAGATCGCTTAACTTCATGTGAAATTAAAGTAACAAAATAATCAAACGTATCTATTATTAAAGCGAAAGCCCATTGGCGAGGGAAGATGCATGTTTCGTACGATTTCGTATGTCAAAGTACAGCATGGCCGTAGTTGACAAAGAATGACATATATTATTGTTTCTAATTAACAATGGTATAAGAGAATGATCCCATTTAAATTGTTTCTCATAAAATATATATATATATATAATTTAGTAGTTTGTACTACGTCAATCAAACGTTGTTTAAAAAATATATATAGTTATATACCGTAGTCTTGTTAAAATTAAAGATCAGGTTATCACATTTAATGTACATATAGACTTAGATTATTTACAGAAGAAAAAAAAAGAATTCATAACGTTCTACACATTAAATTTATATATTTATTGGTAGTATATTGAATGAAACATCTATGGTTTTCCATGATAAACTAATGCAGATCATGTATTATTGCAAAAAAGTCGACGACATGGTCCAAACAAATCATTAATCATTCCTATTTATCCATATAATATATATACACAAAAATAGATAGCGGACCTATGTTTATGACTTTGTGTATATATACACGTACGACACTAGTACCTCTTTATAATATTTCATCTCACACTAGCCCCCAAAAACGTCTCTCTCTCTCTCTCTCTTTCATAATCATGATGAAGAAGAGCAAGATCACAAAGGCATGGAAGCAAATGTCAAGCAGAGTAGCCAAGCATCGAGCGGCCGCCGAGAAACCTCATATACCACATGACGTACCAAAGGGACACTTAGTGGTGTACGTAGGAAAAGAGGAAGAGAGTTACAAGAGGTTCGTGATCAAGATCAAGTTGCTTCATGATCCCATCTTCAGGGCTTTGCTTGATCAGTCAAAAGACGAAGCTTACGACGATTTCACTTCCGGAGATTCGAAGCTTTGTATCCCTTGCGACGAAACTCTCTTCCTCGAGGTCCTCCGTTGCGCTTCTCCACGTTACTCATGATCTTGACGAGACGAGACGAGACGAGACGAGACGAGTCTCTAACTCGAGCAGAAGGTTACAAGGTTTTGCTAATCTGAGAGAGTCCATTTGAATCATGATGTTGACGAGACGAGTCTCTAACTCGAGCAGAGGGTTACAAGGTTTTGCTAATCCATTTGAGATCTATTGTAGAAATAATTAAGAGTGCTGTAATATGAGCGATTTTTAGTTAGTAGCTTGATTGCATTACATCTACATAAGTTAACTTGAGGAGCAAAATATGGCTTTTTCCCAACCTATATAGTAATAATGATATTAAATTATCAATGATTGTGATAACAAAAGGGTGATAACAAAACAAAAAAAGCCAAAGAAGAACACTCGAGCAATAATCGTGAAGAGTACGTTGAATAATATAGATGCTTGTTTATTTGGAAGAAATCACAAAACTGAGGATGACACAAGTATCAGTTTAGTTGAAGTCGGGCTTCTCAGGGTAAGTGCAGCCAGATCTTTGGATCACCACGTTTGACGCGTAGCAACCGGCCTTGACGCACTCCTCAATCGATTTCCCTTTCACCAACTGTGACATGAATCCTCCCACAAATGCATCACCTGTGATGTGAGAGAGGTCAACAAAAACTTAAATTCATGTTCTACATTCATGATCATGTAAGCCTTAATTTTGAATGTAGGTTGGGTTATCGAAAGAGTACCTGCACCGTTGGTGTCAACAAGCTTCTCCTTGGAGAGAGGGATCACAGGGTATTTCTTCACCTTTCCATCTTCAGCAACAACCACTGGGTCTGCGCCCTGTGTAATCACCGTGGTCCTCTTGTATGTTCCTGTGGCCTTGGGGAGCTGTGAAATCTTGATGGCTATTTGTTCCACATCTTCGGTCTATATATACAAAAACATGTACACATGTTAAGAATCTATCTCTTTTATACGAAACAGAGCAGCTTGTTGAAAGTTAGTCGTGTGAGAGAAATGGTACCTCCCAGCCATGAACCTTGGAGAAGGTTCTAGCCTCTGTCTCATTGCCGAAAACAAAGTCCATGTACCTGTCCGAGCAATGCAGAGTGTTTCTGAGTACATTTACGCAATCATAAAATCTGCAATAGATAACAAGATCATATAAGGGATTGCTTACGGCAAGAACTTCTCCTGTACATCTTTGAAGAATTCACAGATGAATGGAGCAGAGAGGTTCATTGTGAACACCTGAAGGATAAGTGAAAATGTCCGAGATATTAACACAAGAAGCACATAAACGTGTAAAAGATTCTGCTAAAACAGGGTCTAATGGAATGAATGACCATTTATCCCATACCTTGTTGTTTGCAGCAGCGTGCTCAGATACAAGCTGAATGGATTCAGGCGATACCGTGAGGAAGAATCCAGCAATGTAGTAGAATTTGGCCTTCTCAACTACGCAAAACATATTCGATCACAGATATATCAGCTCGTGAAGAAATAATACAGAACAGTTAATAAAAGGATGTAACAATGGGAAATGAGTGTTACCCAATGCCCAGTTTTCAGGCTTCTTAAGGTGGTCAACCTTGTAGCAGTTTGCAGCTGAAAGATTCGCAATAAGCGACCTTTCTCCACCAACAACACAGACACCGCAAGTTCCAGTAGGTGCCGACTCATCTTCATAATAGTGAACCTGTTACGAGAAGCACACTGTCATTTCAATGCACCACCACCTTGATTACAAATTCTGAATCCAGTTTCAACAATAACTCCATACTATCCCTCAAAGACAAACCGAACACCAGCTGTACATGGACTCAAACCGAAAGCAAGAAACCAGAGAAGAACAGCTTACATTGACACCAGCTGCTGTAGCATCCTTCTTCATCGCCTCTCCGTATTTGTCCTTTCCAATGGATCCCATGTAACTGGTTGCCCCAGGAATTTGAAGCATCCACTGCAGCCAGAGAGTAAGAAAGAAAGACCCTTTAGTTAGCAATGTAATGATATTTATCTACCTTACTTTTAACCCTACAAAAAGTTGCAAGAAGAAGGTAAAAGAATCTACCTGAGCAACTTTGATTGAGTTCTGAGTAGCACCTAAAAAAAAAGAATTGAATCATGAAGATGTCATTAACCTTGTCCGCAAATATGCGATTAAATGTTTACAGGATCGTCAAAAAGCACAAAAGATGAATTACCTCCGGCAATGTACTCAACATTGAACTTGCTGCTCATCTCATCATACCTAAAGCAAAACAAAAACAATTTTCATATTTAATAACTCATCAAACCATGTGTCTAACAAGCGAATTTGAACCCATAAAAGATAAAATAATCCCACCAACCAAATCAAAGTTCGATACACGTTACAGGAAACAAAGTTAAAAATTTCAAATTCCAAGGAGGTTGCAATCCTTACATGGGCAAATGTTTTTCCTCCGCGAGAATCGCATTGTTCAACTTGACGTCGTATCTGTCACGATTACAGAAGAAGAACATGAGTCAGGAAAAACGCAAACCGAAATACGGCACACAAATCTTAGAGCTAACGCCACAGAGGAAGATTCAAACAATCAATCTAGAGTCAAACGAAACGCCCAGGAAGGATTGCGACACGAATTCAAAAAAAAAAGTATATATAAACATTTGAGAAGAGGGATCTGAGCATTATACTTGGTGAGGAATTCCTCGTCGACGACGGCAGAGATGTCGAGAAGTGGGTTACCCATTCCAAGAAGGATTCCGTCGTAGTTAGAGGAAGCCATGACGAATCTGAGAAAGGTTTAGATTCAGATCTGGTTTTGGAGAAGGCAAAGTTTTGTTGCTACTGAGTGAGAAGCCGTGAGAGTTTATAATCAGAGCTCAGCGGAAGTTGGTACACCAACGACATATTCTCTCTTTTTTTTTTTAGGTTTTTTTTTAATTACTTTTTTAACTACATAATAAATCGTACTCCATTTTTATCTTTATTTTGTCGGTGGCCTCTTCTTGCTTGTGCTTCTTTAGTTCTTTTTGTGGGCCGAGTAAATTTAGATATATATTATTATGATACAATTATATCGTCATTAAATTAACTACAAAAGTAATTAAGAAGTAATCATCCTCAAGTTCTCTCCATTTGCTGGTTTGAAGCAGGAAAACACGAAAATAAGAGAAACTAAACAACTCTAAGCAAGAAAACAAAACTCTTCTGATGGATTCAGAAAGATGATTCACTTGTCCTGGTGTTATGAAATCTTGCCTTGCGGCAGAGAATTTTAAAAAGACGTTTTGAGGCAGAAACAATAACTTCAAAAGTAATAAAACTCATGAAGAGAGAATTGCCAATGCCTGTTTCTTTTTTTATTCTAATCGTAAACGATAAACAAGAAGAATTTGGAGGCTAAGAATGGATTAAGCCCCAAAGGAAGAAGATTCTGATAAAAAATTGAGATTTTACGAGATGTTCAGAGATGATCACAGATTGCCTTTGTGAATTCCGTGGTGGTGGAAGAACCTCCAAGATCAGCGGTTCGGTATTTGCCCTCGGCTATGGTGTTGATGATCGCACTGTGGATCTGCTCTGCTTGTTCGTTGAGCTTCAGGTGACGTAACATCATCACTCCACTCAGTAGCAAAGCTGTTGGGTTCGCCAAATTCTACACCACCACAAGAATAAGAACACGAATGCATACAAAGTCAAGTTCTAATCTTTGTACTGGAATGATCAAATGTTTCAAGGACTAACCTTTCCAGCAATATCGGGCGCTGAACCGTGGACTGCTTCGGCGAGGGCTACACCATCTTCCCCGATATTACAACTGCGTCAAAGATAACAAGGCCTTGAGATCATTGGCTACGAAATCATACTGAACAACTATATTATTCAAGGTGAAGTAACCAATATATCACCTTGGAGTCAATCCTAGTCCTCCAACCAAGCCAGCACACAAATCGCTGATAATGTCACCGTACAGGTTTGGCATCACCAAGACATCAAACAGTGCTGGGTTTTTCACAAGCTGCGGGCATCTCAAGATTATCAAATTCACATATTCCACAAAACAATAATAGAATTTTTTCCCGAAAGTAAAACAATGGGAAGACAGAACTCTAGTACAAGTTGCTGGAAATCTAACGTCCAAAATCTACAAGGTAATCACGAGCAGTAACTTAACTAAGTAAAATGGTAGTTTTGGTGTCGTAGCTTACCATCATACAGCAGTTGTCAATAACAACCTCCTCGTAAGTGATCTCAGGATACTTCTCAGCAACCTCACGACAACACTGGAAAACAAGAACAAAAGAAACATTGTCCGTCTCAGAACATAATAATCATTTCTTTGATCTACGCATAAGAAGATGTTACAACGCATTCTAGGGTTAATGAAAATGGGCAGACCTTGAGGAAAAGACCATCAGTTTTCTGCATAATGTTGGCTTTGTGAATCGCGGAAACTCTCTCTCTTCCATGAGTCTTAGCATAGTGGAAAGCATACTCTGCCACTCTCAAACTCGCCTGACGGGTAATGATTTTAAGGCTCTCCACCACACCTCTAACAACCTATTATACGAGTCAGGAAAAACAAAACAATTATCAGAAACGCTTCTTGGAAGAACTGAACCTTGAGAATGTACGATGGAATAGAATCAGCAAACATAACCTGGTGTTCGAGACCACTGTATTCTCCTTCCGTGTTTTCCCTGATGGTGATGAGATTAACGTCATCGTAACGGGTTTTGTAACCAGGAAGACTGTAGCAAGGTCTTACATTGGCGTACAGATTCAGCTCTTTCCTAAGAGTCAGGTTCAGAGAACGGTGACCTTTCCCAATTGGAGTAGCCATTGGACCTTTCAAGCCGACTTTGTTTCTACGCACAGATTCGAGGCTTTCCCAGGTCAAGAAACTCTGTGTTCTAGGATCTATCTCAGTCCCAACATAGTGTTCTTCCCAATCAATCGGCACACCAGCGGTTGTAAACACCTGGATCAGCAGAAAATGGCATAAACCATCAACGAAACTGACTATCGATATACAGAATTCCCACAAATCGCAAATTATCCAATATTAAAATCAACAGTTCTCTCCTAACTAGTCAGAAGTAGAAATTCTTCCAAGAAAACAGTTTAGGGAGAGGGACCTTTTTGACGGATTCAGCGATCTCGGGACCGATCCCATCGCCAGGGAATAAGGTTGCGGTAATCGGAGTAGTGGAAGAGCAGAAAGCCCTAGCGACGGAAGTAGCCGCACCTGAGCTAGTTCCAAGGATCTGGTTTGATCGGCCTCCGATCAGCCGTCTCGCCAAGTTTGCTGCCATGGTCATCTCTTCAAGCACCAAAAGGACGCAGCAAAAGAGTTTATTCGAGCGAGAGAATTTTTCTGCGTTTGGACAAACGTTTGCAAAGACTTTTCTAGTTTTCTTTACAGCGAATATTTTCTTCTTCCATTACAACGCCGTGTAGTTTCTTAGTTTTAAGGACTGACTTAAACGACATGAAGTAAGTATGTTAAAATACCAAACGGAACGAAGTGCCTTCTTGAAAATTGGAGGCCCAATATAGAGATTTTTTATGCTTCAGTGTCGGCCCAATATCGAGGTTAAGCCGTTCCTACTTCATTGATCGGCCCAATAAAAGGGAGAGAATTTTTTTATTTTTGTCGGCCACTAAAACAGTGACATTACAGAACAAAACAACGAAGAACGTAATATACACGTCATCTTAAATAACACAACTGGTATTGCTAAACCCCCGGTGGCTTTTCCATAGCTTTTTGCGGCGGTGCAGGTGCCGGCATACCAGCCAACGGTGGCCCGTAGTGAAACTGCGACATACCTTCTCGCCGGCCGATTTTCCTTCCAATGAGATAAAAAGCGAGTGCGACAATAAGAAGGAGAAGAATCGCCGGAAACGATATATAGATCACATAACCCATCGTTAATTTACTCCGCTGGTTTTTTCCCCCTGGCACTGATGCATTTAAGAAAGTAGAAGACGATTCGAGAAAAAGATTGATTATACAGTAATTGTCTACACAGGAAACGTGTCAGCATTCTAGAATGGATGCGTCAGCCACGCATGGGACCTGGCTAAGGAGATTTAACCATTCAAATCGACGATTTTTTTATGATTCCGCACCAAATTACACAAACCGGATTCGGTTTGTAGCTATGGTCCTATATGATATGTATATATTACATAACATTACAACCAAATTAAGAGAGAAGAAAAAAAAAAGAGCGAAAAATTCTGAAGCAACAAAAATCCATTTTTTTTTTCTTTTCTTAATACACAAAAACGAAGCAGAGGAGCAATCAAAAGCAAAAGTTTTGATTCTTCGGCTTCCTCTCGACGTCTCTTTTGATCATCATGAGATTCAAATGATCTTTCCTCAACCCAATGATCCGTACGCAGACGCTGCAGTCACGTTCTTTCTTGAACCTGGTCCATCCTGATTCATACCAACCGGTTTATTCGATAAACGACGTTTATACCGCTTCAATACAGAAGCCAAATTCTCTTTTCCCTTGGGGAAAGCCACATCTCCTGCAGCTGTACCGGTCCGGCCTTTCCTACAAGAGATTGCCATTTCAACGTCTTTGATTAGATCAAGAAGTGTGACTGCCGTTGTGCATTTGCCTTTAGCTGGTTTTGCAGCCGGAGGTAACATTCCGTTAGAAGCCGTAGGCGGACTCGCTCTTTGGTGAGTCGACGGAATCTGAAGGCAGAAGCACGGTGTCATCGGTGTACGCGGCTTCGAGAACGCCGGATCTATCACTCCCTGTTGAATCAAATTTTAATCCATAAATGTCCACACAAAAAAACACAAGCTTTGGTTTCAAAACTGCAAAATCTTCTTTTTACCTGAAGGCGGTTGAGAACGTAAGTGTACTTTCCCCAGAGCTCAGGCCGACTCTCCATGAGAGACAAGTCAAGGACACGGTGAATGCACCAAACTCCAAAGCTCACAATCAGATCAGCCCTCCAAACGCAACCATCTCCGCAGTTAGGAACCGACGAAATCAGAGGCTCGCCCATGTGACCCACTTGGTTTATTTCTCGAGTTTCAGCTTCATAGATGAACTTTTCTCTTGCAGCTACGCGGTCAATCAGTTCTTCATCGACTCCATCGCTTTGCCCAAACAACCACTCTGATCCTTCCAGTTTAATAAGCTTTAGAATACAGTGCCTGAACGACTGAAGAAGCTTAGCCTCTGCATCGACAGTAGAAGCGTTGTTGTCTATATTTATCGGATTCGATCTATTCCTGAGTTCCTCACCAACAGCGCCATTCCTCTCTGCTACACCAAACTGCTCAAAGGGCTGTCTGGACCAAAGCGATCCAGTCCCTGTTGTTGCACTCTGTGGCAGAGTATATGCATCTCTGTAGCCTCCTCTTGACTGAGAAACGTCCTCATAACCCGATGCTACTCCAACCCGTGACCCCAAATTAGAATATAAGGATGATTCATTGCTTAGTCGACCATACGAAGCGCTATACCCTCCTCCTCCAGTTGATGCATCCCAGTATCCGCTCTTGTTGTTCGGCAAATGCATATTCCTTGCGGACATAGACAATCCCGATATATCTGGCATGCTACTGTATTTCTTCTCATTGGCAACTACGGTGCTTACAGCATCGGTGTTTCCAGAAGATGGAACACCATAATATGATCTTTCAGATTGTCGCGATATGTTTCTGGACCCAGCAAAATTCTCAAACCCAGGAGCTGGTCCAGGGGTTAGACCATTCTGGGACTTTTGTTTCAAGGCTAAAGCCAGTTGCTGTGTGTAGCTATATGAACCAAGGGCCATAGGTCTAGATGTTGGGATCTCTCCACGGGATTGCAAAGCTTCAAGCCTTTCTTTTGCCAAACTGTCGACATAGGACTTAATCTGGTATCCATGAACCGTAGCAGGTTGTTGGTGTTCCCATCCCTCAGCAGATGATGGAGAACGCAGGCTAGAGTATCTTCTCTCACTCAATTCATAAGCACTGTTACTGGTGGTGTTACCATATGCACCCAACATCTGCATACGGTTGACCAACGGTGACGGTGATGAACCTCTTTGTAGTCCATACAGAGAATCGATACTTCCGGGTTGCCTCTGCTGCTTCATTGAATCGTATAAACTTGAATTCATCTGTGATTCCAATCCCTTTGAAGTTGGTGACATGCAATATCCGCTGCTCATGTCCTTTCCAAAAGAATCGACTTTCACAGAAGAGGCTGACTTTTGATCAGCGCCAAACAACTGATCTAGTTTCTTTGCCCTCGCTTCGGCAACTAATTGCCCATGGAAATCATACAAATGTCCCCAAAACTCATCAAGGATCGCAGATAAGTGTCGTCGAGCAGCACGACCCAAACCTTGCAACCGTGAAAGGCTTCCGGTTCCACTTCCCCCTTCCTCGCTTCTCCCACTTAGGCTGCGGAATGAAGGCGGACCATCAGACAAAACAGTAAAGTTGCTTGCAGGAGCAGCTTTGGTAGCTTCTTCTGTTTCCCATGAAACTCCTTCAACATCCTTTTCAATGAACTTGCTGTTATTCTCCATGCTTACAGTCTTCTCCACAGGACTCGTGGGTTCAACCTTTGCCATCTTTGTTTCAACAACCAAATCCTTATCAGTAACCTCATCGATCACCGTTGACTGCAATACTGACTGTTCCTTTACACCAGAGTCTCCCCCAAGACTACTTACTTGAGGGGCGGAGAATTTCGCATCCAACTCTCTTTCTTCTAGAGGACTCGAACGGATTTCTTGATCCGTCATAAGAATGTTCTCTGGCAAATCATAGACCGAGCTAGTAACAGACGGAGTATCTAGCTGATCCTTTACCCTGCTTTCCAGCCGCACTGTCGATTCTTCTTCATGCCGCCTTGTTTCAATTCTTACAGTTTCCTCTTCTTGAACGGATGTATAAGATAAAGCATTTTGTGCATCCATGTCCCATATTTGAGCCTCTACTCTGTTACTGGCAGATTTCAGCGGCGTAGCAGCAAGCCAGAGCATCAGGCATAAGGATGCACAAGACGATACAAGCAGAGTGGTGTACTGAACCGAGGTGCCCATCACGGTATTCCATCTCAAACCACCAGCCCAGTCGCTGTTCCCAAAAACCATTTCCACAACGAAAACAACATTCAAACCCACAAACCCCAAAAACGTTGTAAGGGCAAGGAACTCGCCAACCTGAGGAATTTTATGTACACCCATGATTTGTCTCGACGAGGCAATGCGGAACAGTGGAATTACAGAGGAAGGAAGCATCATCGCCACCAGGACCTGGGTGAATACAAGTAACTGGTAGATCCCGTCTGCACCAGCTGTCCACACACAGTAAAGGGCAGGAGCAACTGCAAGAATTCTGATTGTAGCACGATGAAGCCAACCGGGTATCTCTATCTTCAGGAAGTCATGCAGGACGACCTCTCCACCGAAAGCCCAAGCTAGTGCCGTGATTTGACTTGAGAAGAACAAGAGCATTAAAAACACCAACGGAATGAGCGGACTCCTAAATACCTGCGCTCAACAATCAAGAACCAAATATAATTCATAACCAGGAGAGTGTCCAAAACTGTCTCCCTATAAAGGAAATCTAGATCAATAAGTTCGAACAAACCTGCTCCATTAGAGACATGGCGTCCTGAAAAGTCAGTACCACAAGGCCAGTACTGTGGAACACATTTGCTGCTGCATTCATCAGTACATAATTTACAAGTGAAAGACCGCTGAAGACACAAAAGATGGCAAACAAATGGTCTTGACACAAGCTGCTCTTGTCGACATCTGATGAAGATGTACTTTCCTGCAAAAAAAAGCGTTCACTGCTTAGTAGGATTATTGCTTCTTAATTAGAAGGAGAGATACATAGAAAGAGAGAGAGAGGTACCCCAGCAAAATAAGAATGAATATAAAAATTGTGAGGGACGATGCTTGCTCCAAGAAGACTCATCAATGCGAATGCGCTCTCTCCATTTAACCGTGTTAGCACTCCGTTCATAGAGAATGGGATCTCAGACTGACTCAGCAAGACGCCAGAGACATATACAAGTAAAACAAGGCCTGCCGAGCAAATCGATACTGTGTTTGCCATTCCATTTTCCTGTAAAATTTGCATCCATGTCAGCTAATTTCCAATAATGCTGTTTCAAGAACACGGAAAAGAAGAAGAAGAAGAAGAAGAAGAAGAAAAGACGGGAGACCAGACATACAAGGAAAGAGGCGAAAACAGGAAAGAAAAATGCATCGATGGCGGCCAAAAACACTCCAGTGGATAAGTCCACCCCAAAGAGAAGGTTAAGTGCATGTGCAACACCCACAACCTGTATAATTGAGAAGCTCAAGTCAGAGGAATGGAATCATTTTCCCATCAAACATCATTTTAACAATAAGATCATAAGTTACTACCATGGTAAGGTCGAGCAGAATTGCTGAGAATTCCGCCTGAACGCCCAAGAACATACACGTCCACTTGTCATATTCTTCAT